TAGTGATCTTACAATATCTTAAAAAATAACTAACACAAAAATGGGCTGGTGAGTGGTTCAAGTGGTAGAGTACTTGTATGGCAAGTTTAGGTTTAAACTCCAGTAACACAAAAAATTCCATATATGTATATTATGACATTATAACCTTGTTGGGAAGTACTGAAAAGTGGGAGTTGGGGCCTAGTTGGGGAAAGTCTATCAGTGTGGGGTCTGCTTGCCCTAGTCCCTTCCTATAATGGTTTCCTCTGCTTCCTGTCCACAAAGAGATAAAGAACCACCTCTGCTACAAACATCTGCTGTCATGATGTTCTACCCAGGCACCTGGGCCCAGCTACTCTGGATGGAACATTCAGAAGTCATGAGTCAAAATAAATCCTCCTTCTCTGTCGGGCATTTTGGGAATTTTCTCAGTAACAAGTATAATAACTAACACGTTATACTTTATAAATTCTTTTAAAAAATGAAGTCTAGGGCTAAGAAGGTGGCTCAGTGGTAGAGCGTTTGCCTTACATGCATGAGGCCCTGGGTTCATTCCTCAGCACCACATAAGCAAAAAGAAAAAAGCTGGAAGTAGTGCTGTGGCTCAAGTGGTAGAGCGCTAGCCTTGAGCTGAAGAGCTAAGGGACAGCGCCCAGGCCAGAGTTCAGGCCCACGACGGGACCCCCACCAAAAAAAAAAAATGAAGTCTAACAGTGAATTGCAATGGCCACACTGACAGGCTAAGAAGCTACAATATGCTTGGAAAAGGACTAAAAAATAAAGATTACACACAAAGGAACTTGATTGTAAATACATTGATTTTCATCCTCCCTTCCCTCATTCATTCACTGGACAAATAGGTATTCAGCTAGATACTGGGGATAAAACAATAAACAAGCCAAGACATAGTGGCAGCAAAATTCACTATAGCAGGGAAGTTACACATGAAGTAATCTAGCCTTCTTGAAGAAAAAATACTTGAGACGCAGGCTGAAGAATCGAACAAGTGGCCCTGGCAAAATAAATAAACAAGGGCTGAGGGGAAATTTCCCATTTAGGAGAGTAGAAAATACTATGATTCTATGGTAAGAGAGAGCATGGCCCTTTCATTCTACAGAAAAGACAATGGCTGAAAGACCCCTAAGCATAAAGGCCTACCCAAGTAGGAGAGGCCTGTTCAGTATATCCTGGAGCCCATGCATGCAAGTTGTCTCCGTGAGGATATCCTAAGAACCATGAGAAGTCATTGAAAACGTCACTCAGGTGGCAGTACCAAAAGCAGTCCTGGAACAGACTAGAATAGTTCTGGACTCTGGTTGTAGTTCAGGTGAATTATGGACTTGAGCCTCAGAATAGAGCACGGGAATCAAGTTTCATAGCAGGGATTGAAAGCTATGTAGAGGAGAAACCTACAAGCTTTGGTGATTAGATCTGGAGGATCAGATGTTTGGTAAATAGAAAGTAGACCTCCACAAAGACACATATTTCTGATTTGTGCCACATGATATTCCCAGGATAGATGAATAGTGAAGGAAATCTGAACTGTAGAAGAGGAAAATGTTAAATTCGGTTTGGAACATGTTAATTTTGGTTTGTCTCAAAGATTCCCAAATGCAGGTGGAAATATGTAGTTAGATTCATGAATTTGGAGCTCAGGAAGTTTTGGCTAGAGATATAAATGAATGACTCATCTGTACTGAAAGGGTAGCAGAAACAGCTGTGCCTCAAGAGCATATTTAAATGACAGCCAACAAAAGTTGTTCAGAAGAGGAAACTTAAAGCACAGAAGCAAGACCGGGCTTCACTGTGGGAAAGGACTGGGCCAAATAGAAATAGATGCACCAGACATTCATGCTTAAACTCTGGCTTTATAAATACAAAAATTTTATGAACCATTCTCCACTGGACATTATGGCAGGCAAATAGTTGATAGGCAGATATGATATGATAGGTAGATAGTTGGGTTTGTCTAGATTGGGATTTTTCTGAAACAAATTAAGAATAATATTAAGACAATATTAAGAATAGGGATATAAGGAATTTAGTAAGAGCAGAAGAATTTATACTTGCATAAAAGGGCAATGTGAGAAAGTGTTGATAGATTGGTAGAAACTAGTATGTCCAGTAGTCGACAGATTGCAATGAGGCCAGAGAACAATTCTGCAATGAGGCAGACAACACTGCAAGCTAGAAGGAGAGGAGGGCACAATAAGGGTTGATATAGTTAATGTACAAATGAGGCAAATGTTAGTGACAACAAGGTCCAATGTGTGATCATGGGTGGCTAACAAGACACAAAGGGTTTTGGAAACAAGCTGATTGAGCATTCCAGGGCTGTGGTATTGAACAGCTCTTCCAAGCTGACTCAGAAGGGCCTAGAAGATTTTAAAGGACTTGTGATGAGGAGGACTGCCAAGCCAGGGGCTAAAGTGCTTGCTCTGTGCAGGAAGAGAAATGACCTTGATTCTAGCTAGGAGAAGAGGAGAAAGAGATAAAGTGTGCCACTCTTAAAAGAGCATATATTTGCTTTCTGTTGTGGCTTTCTCAAACAACGAATCTGGGGAATAAAGAATGATCTAGAAAATGCTGGGTCTCAGGACCAAATGAATGAACTCAAAGGGATGTGAAGAAGTCACAATGGTACCAGGTACCATCTGAAGGGTCTGCTAGAGAAGTGGTCCTCAGGCCACAGGAGAGTTTAAGAAAGTCAGGATGTGTGCAGAGCTTTGTGGATGAGAGAGGGGGCCCAGTGGCACATCTGTCCATGTTGTAGTCCCGCACTGCAGGGTAAAGAGTTGAGATGTGGGGTAGGGAAGGCTTTGCCTTGAAGCAGGGAAGGGAAAAGCATTCTAGAGATAATTGTACCATAGAGGACAGATGATAGTAGTATAAGAGTTATGAATAAAAACCAAGATGGCACACTGAAAACAAAAAGTCATTTTAAAGGTCGTACACAGTGATCCTGGAAGCCAGAGATAAATGACTTGGCTGAGGTGGTGCCAGATAGCATGGCCACCCATGCACTGTTCGGCTGGACACCAGATCTAGAGTAGGGTTTCTCTGCCTCAATATTACTGACCTTCTGTGCTTGATTGGTCTGGGCTGTGGGGACCTATCACATATTTTCAAGATGTTTTGCAGACTCCTGGCCTCTACCCACTAAATGCCAATTGTATCCTTGCTCCTGGTAACAAAAAAATACATCCTCCATTGAGAAATACTGCTTGAGTGCCAAAGCTCAATGAGGAGTACAGAAGCTAGACATTTGCTGTAGTAATATGATTTGTGGACATATTTTTAGAATTGATCAAGTCTAATGGTTTCAGAGACATGGAAGAAAGCTGGTCTTAACCTTAACAGTCATTCCCGAATCGTGTGTGTGTGTGTGTGTGTGTGTGTGTGTGTGTGTGTGTGTGTGTGTGTGTGTGTGTGCCGATCCTGGGGGGCTTGAGCCCAGAGGTCTGGGTGTTATCCTTGAAGTGGTAATGGCTAGCACTTTACCACTTGAGCCACAGTTCCCCTTCTGGCTCTCATGAACTTTCCTTTCTAGGCTGGCTTCAAACCACCATCCTCTGATCTTAACTTTCTGAGTAGCTAGGATTATAGGTCTAAGTCCATGGCACCCAATATATCCAGTTCTTAAGATGTGTATTCTCAGCTGGACACTGGTGGTTTGCACCAAAAATCCTAGTTACTCAATAGGCTGAGACCTGGAGGATTGTGGTTCAAAGCCAGCCAGGGCAGAAAAAGTCTGTGTGACTCCATCTCCACTAAAATGCTGTAGTTATGGTTCAAGTGGCAGAGCACCAGCAATGAACAAGAATGTTTAATTCAAGCCCGAGTTCAAGCTCTGATACTGTTACAAAACTGTTAAAAAAAAAAAAAAAAAAAAAGGACAGATAAAAGAAATGTATTCTTCAGCTTTATCACATCTCTTCTTCTGTCTGGAGAGCTTTTGCTTATTTCCTCAGATGATAATTAAGACATATCTCCAATGAGAATATTCAAATCAATTCCATAATTTTTTTTTACTAACCATCCTTAGTTTTTAGAATGTGCCAAAAGAGCATTTCCTCAATCATCTCATCCTTCAGATGTGGGAGTATAGAGCATTTGTTCATAAAGGCAGTTTCTTACTGTAGTTACCCAGTACTTCTTCAGAGAAATTTTTATAGGTACACTTTCTTGGGATTGGTATGGTTATTTATTTAATATCTTTTTTCCTATGAAATATTAAGTTTGATAGAAGAACCTATTTTATTCATTGCTAGGTCCTCTGCATCAAGTAGAATACTTAGCTCAAGGAGCATCTACTCAATGATTCAAAGAAATCATACCATACTTGTCTGAGAAACCAGAAAATAGTATCATCAAGCTTTTGAAAATAAGTATTACATTCTCCAGGGTGATTTTTTTAACAGGGATTATTTTACAGTACTGGGGGTTGAACTCAGGGCTTTACACTTGCTAAGCAGCTACTTATTGCTGAGCCATGGGTGCACACCTTTTTCTACTGGTTATTTTTGAGATAATGTCTTACTTCCTCCCCAAGTGCATGCCTGGGCCACTGGCCACCTATTTTGGGGCTTCCTATGATAGCTAAGAGAACAGATGCATGGCACTCTACCCAGATCTTGCTTGGGAAAGAGGCTCAAGAACATTTCTGCCAGGGATGGCTTTGAACTTGGATGGCCCTGATCTCAGTTTTCTAAGTAGCTAGGATTTTAGACCAGAGCCACCAATGGCTGGATCTGATTTTTTGAAGTCAAATACCTTTATATTAGGATATTTTTTGCTCAAGGGGATTAACATTCTAGATAAGAGATCAAAAGGTCATACCATTCAAAGACCTGTGAAACATTTTTAGGTTAGAACAGATAGGTTATAGTCAACACTAAAATCACAAATGTTCCCACTCAAATATATGTTCAGCCCTTGGTCTGTGCTTGATTCTAAAATATGTTGTTTGATTCTTTTAGGGTTTGCTACACTAAGCAAGGACGTTGTCTTACAAGACCTACCTGAGGCAGTGTTCAGATGGCATTCTCCAGCCTGAGTTCCTCTGAGTCTCACACTTAGAGGTTTTCAGAGAAGTCAGAAATCATTCCAGCTTGACTGAAAGACAAGAATGAAGAGAATATTGAGCTAAATGCAAAGAAAGTCATGATGTAAAAGCTTTAGAATCCTGAGGGAAAAAGGTGGCAAAGTTTTATAATGAACATATGACATCCTGAAACCATGTTCTTTTAACTTGCAATGATCCTCTATGTTCTTAAAATTTTAGGTTTTTTACATTAAGGACAAAGAAGCAAAATATATTTGAGAGTCAATGATAGCTAAGTAAAGATTGGAGTTAAAAATATCAAATAGCTTAAGATATGAGCTGGTGGCTCACATCTGTAATTCTAGTTACTTAGGAGGCTGAGATCTGAGGATCATGGTTCGAAGCCAGCCTGGGAAGGAAAGTCTATAAGACTATTGTCTCCAAATAACCATCAGATAACTGGAAGTGGAGCCAAATAATAGAGATCTAGCCTTTAGCACAAAAGCTCAGGGACAGCTTCCAAGCAAGCGTTCAGTTCAAGTCCCATAACCATCACCATCACCACCACCACCAACAACAAACTAGCCCTAGAGGAAAATTAAAATTTGATAAGATAAAGCTATAATGATCATAAATACTAGTTATTTGTCTTTCATAGAGATTTTACTGTCTTTCCAAACATGTTAGTGAAATCAAGTTAAGATCAGGTACCTCTTGGCTGAGCATATATAGAAAGATATTTTTCTGTTCAAGCAGGAAGTTTCTGAAAACTAGATGAAAATACAAACAGCACAGAGAATGAAAATTAGTAGGAAATGAAAATGCATTGCTACAGGAGATTCAGGATTAGCATAATTGAAATATAGAACAGGATGTACTTATTGGGCTTGAAATTTCTCCTTGGCTATGTAGTCTTACTCATTTAGCCCCCATTCCCCACCTTTGCCCTTGTTTTTAATTTGGTGTAACATTAAGGGGAAAAAGAATTATCTGAATAGTCTGGGATCTGGTCCATGGCTGTACTTAAAACTCTTATGAGGGAGCCTTACTTCCATTTTCTAATGCATGCAACTGACTAAATTAATTACAATCTGGAAAAGTCGAATAGATTTCCTTCTGTCTCAATTTTATTTTTGAAAGGCAATAACAGGGTAAAACCATTTATGAAAAGAGTATGTGAAACTGTGCCTATTTCTACTCATTTGAATAACAAAGAATGCTATAATTTTTCAATCTGACTAAAATACACTATTTAAATTTTGTACACAAACCTTCCATTGGTATGGTTGAATTATATGTCATGTAATACATAATAACCTAGTATTTCATTATTATCGATTATTATGTTGTTTCAAATACTTTTCTTACTATTGTATCTTCCAGTTCTTCTGTTGCTTTTTAAATAATGTGAATAGATATATGTGCATTTATTTCTAATGTAAATCTAGAAGTGAGCACTATGATTGAACAGTGATCCATCATGATTGAACAACCAGAATAATTCTAGACATGCTGTTTAATTAGCTGAGAGACTTGCTTAGCAACCTGTTGTTGCTACAGTTTCCTTTCAGAATCTGGGTTATAAACTCCAGCCAGTGATAGCATTAAACAAGCATAACAGACATGAACAGTTAAAGTTTAAAGTTAGAAGGACCATCTTTTATAACAGAGAAGTGAAAATGTTCTTTTGCAGGCTTCATTTTTTAAAAAAAAACCCTAAGCCAGGCAAACTAAAATTTTACTAGATTCATTATTAAAGAACACAAAGCAAAACACCAAACAATTAAAGAACACATCAAATTCTATTTTTTTCAGATATTTTAAACATAATAGTTATTATATTAAAACTTAGAAAATGGATTTCCTTGCACAGACATTTATTGTTTTGAGACCTAGCACTAAATTACTTTTCCTCCCAAATTACCTAATTATAATCTCCTATAAAATACAGAATTTAGTGAACTTTATTTTCTTTATTCATTATTTTTGGAGAAGTACCCACAAGGATACTACTTTAAAGGTCAGTTAAAAATGACTTAAAGATAAGTCACAGAAGTAGAGCTGTGGGTCAAGTGGTTGAGTGCTAGCTCTGAGCACAAAAGCTCAGAGACAACAACCAGTCCCTGAGTTCAATCCCCAGGACCTCCTCCTCCACCCCCGCAAAAAAATAGATGAACAAAAAGATAAATCAACACTGAAAAATTTTCACATATATATGAGTAGCATATGCATTATATATCATACATATCAATATGTACCATATTGGAATAAGATTTATGGACAGATTTATTTTTATTAAAAGTTTCCTGACAGTGTACAGTGTACAGCATGGCTGTATGTATGCTCCAGCAGGATACAGCCCTCCTCCCCTGCCACCAGCATCTTTCCTTGCATTTTGTTTCCCAGAACTGGAACATAGATTCCTTCCTAACACAAGACTATCAATTCTTCTGTGAACTGAGGGAGATCCAGGCCATTCTCCTGTCTTCAGCTTTGTCTTTGTCTTGACCCAACTCTTCTTTTCCAAATAGGTCCTGTCCTTGAGCTTGTCTTTAAGAGCTTTGTGACCAACTAATGAATAAATAAAAATACTATTTTGGTGTCCAGAGAGTTTACGAACATCACTAAATATCTTTTAAAGAAATAAAGATTTTTAAAAGAATAATGGAGAAAGCCTATGTTAAAACTTTCAGCATCATTGGAGTAGCTTCTCAGCTTAGCTTAATGAAACTGGGAAGGAAGAAGGAGATTTTTCTCTGAAGCATAACTACTAAAAATGAACAAGGCAGGGAAAGGTACCAGAATGTTCCATCTCAAAATATATCTCTTTAGCATAGGGATTATTTTGAGCTTAAGACCACCGGGAACTAGCAGATGCAGGAAAAGCTCTAAAAAACAGGGCACAAGTTTTCTTTAGTAAGGGAAATTTCCATTTATAAAGGATTAGGAAGTCAAGGGTTCCACCAATGGGCTTTCCTTTATTATTTATATATACAAATAGGAATGAGTATTGATTTGCTGATGTGATAGGTATATAGATGGATTTTTACTTTTGCTTTACTTTATTGCCAAGGTAGTTAACAGGACAAATACTAATTATTATCGCATATTATTATATTATGTTATATTGTTATTATAATATAATAACATATTATTATTATTATGGTTATTGTTGTTGTTGTATGTGCCAGTCTGTGGCCTGTATTCAGTGCCTGGGTGCTGTCCCTCTGCTATTTTTGCTAGCCACAACTTCATTTGTGGCTTTTTGGTGGTGAGTTGGAAATAAGCATCTCATGCACTTTCCTGTCCAGGCAGGCTTTGAACACGGATCCCTAGGTTTCAGCCTTCTGAGTAACTAGGATTACAAGTGTGAGCCACCAGCATGTGGCACTAATCTTTTAGATTTCTTATTAAACCCTAAAAGTGTGAAAGGAGGGGAAAAGAAGCAAATGTCCTAGAGGTCTTGATATCTTCAAGAAGAAAGATTAGAAAGATGATCAACAAACATAAGATATAAAAATTAAGATACCTTCCTTATGCAGGTATGTATTATCTGCAAAATTATGATGTGTTAATTAGGATTATATAGAATTAGTATAGGATTAGTATGTATCCGCTTATTCTTATCATATATTTGTTTATTAGTGCTTTAGTATTAAACTCCTAATACTGATGTTTTAAAAATATTACTTACTCCTGACAATAGCAATTCATAGTAATTAAAAGCATTATCATTAAGACATTAAACATTCTGAAGCAAAACATGTAAGACATAGGAAAAGTGGTATACCAGGAAAAGGTCCAGAGACTTTTATACTCATTATGAATGATAAGTATAGATCTTAATGAAGAAAAATTAGGTGCATAATACTAGATAATTACCATATAGTTACTAGATAATTCTTCAATATACTCAAGGGCTTCTTGTTCCCAATTCAACATCAAATTCCTAATTCTTAGTTCTGAAAGGAAATGAGACTTGTGCAATGGTCCCAGTCATCTTATTTTTATTTTTATTTTTTTGCAGTTGTAGATCTTAAACTCAGAGCCCAGGTGCTGTTCCTGACATTTTGCTTAAGGGTAGCATAGCATCTACTACTTTGAGCTACAACTCTACTTTTGGGTTTTTGAGTGGTTACTTGGAGAAATCTGCAGCTCTTTTTTATTCATGTGTTTGTGCCAGTCTTGAGGCTTGAACTCAGGCCTGGGTTCTGTTCCTGGGCCTTTTTGCTCAAGGCTACTGCTGTACCCCTTGAAGCACAGCTCCAAATTTTTGGTGGTTGAAGGCAAGCGTCATGGACTTTCCCCCCTGATCTGGTTTTGTACAGCAATCCTCATATCTGAGCCTCCTGAGTAGCTAGGACTACAAGGGTGAGCCCCTGGTACCTGACTACAACTCTTTCACTATAAAGGCTGATCATTCAGAACTTCTTGAAATTATAACCATAAAGCCTTGTAATTAAACAATTGCTATTTTAAATTTTAATTCAGAAACATTTGCAATAACCAAATACTCTGTTTGACTCATTATAATAAACAACACTTTGTGTAAGTGATTTAATTTAATTCTCTTAAATTGATGTGGGAGATAATGTTATTTTCCCTCTGTTGGTAAAACAAAAACAAAACCAACAAACTTGGAACCAGTGGCTCATACCTATATCCTAGGTACTCAAAGGGCTGAGATCTGAAGTTCAAAGCCCAAGTAGAAAAATTCGTGAGACTGGTATCTCCAACTCATCAGCAAAGGGCCAGAAGTAGAGCTGTGGCTCAAATGGTAGAATGCCAGCCTTGACCAAAAAAGTTAAGGGATAATGCCTAGATCCTGCATTCAAGCCCTAGTATCAGCACCAAACAACAAAAACAAACAAACAAAACAACTCCAACAAACGCAAAATCCGAGGACTAGGAATTAGGAGTGTCAAAGACCAAATTCTAGTCTGTATAGAGGCTCTTCAGTTACCATGGAGTAAATGGAAAATAACATATGTCAGAAATACACTTAATAATCTACCCTACAAAATAGAATAGCTTAGTAACCAGTGAGTAACAATTCTTTCTCCTCC